AAAAAAAATAAAGAATATGTGTGTGTGTGTGTGTGTGTGTGTGTGTGTGTGTGTGTGTGTGTGTGTGTGTGTGTGTGTGTGTGTGTGTTCAGATGCAGCTCTGACTGATGGGAACATGGAGACCAGAGTTTCGTCTGCAGACGTCTCAGCCAGTCAGCATGTGTTGGTCTGCTGCCTGCTGGAACTGGGAGGACTCATTCAGGGACTGGGATCCACTGCCGCCCCCCTCCTCACTGACAGTAGCACAGGTCTGACACACACACACACACACACACACACACACACACACACACACACCGAGAGAATAGCAATGACCCACCTGAAAATTCCTCCAGTGTTTAATTTCTCACACTTTGAGCTGCAGTGGTGGTTGGAAGTGTACTTTCAGTAAGCTGCTGTGACATCATGGTGGGTGGTGGCTACATAGTTGGTAACAAGGTGGAAATGCACATATCAGCATTGAATCGTCTGCTGAGAATCATCCCTGGTTTGTTTTTATCTTTCGGTTTTGTTCAGTTTCTATTTTACATGATGAATACGCATGGGAGTGTTTTTGTCCTTCAGATCTCTGGGCATCAGGAGCGGTGAGTACCACTGACCAGCTGTGTCATGAATGCTGATGCTGTCTCACTCCCGCCAGCTGATACTATCCCGAGACTCAATCCGATTTCATGTTACAGAAACATAGAGGTCAGAGTATGTCGTGGCTTTGTTGATCTGTTGTTTTCATGTCAGAGACTTAGAGTCTTCTGCTGACGGTTGACACTTATGCTAGAAGCTGCTGTTTCAGGTGGACCGTGTTCCATTCACAAACTGAATTTCTGCAGAGAAGCTCAGTATTGGTGCTGATTAGCTGATCAGATAGTGACATTTCACAAGCTGAATCTCTATACTCCAGCCTGCCGTGCTGAAACGACGTACGCTGATCTGATATGTTTACTCTGGCGGTCGATCTCACCTTCAGCTCTGAAGCCGCGATGGTAGATTTTTTTCAAACTTTCGGGGATAACACGATTAAGCAGCGATTATGGTAGAAAAAATCATTGAGCATGCGTAATCGATAAGGAACATAATTATCTCCTCGTAAATGTTTTATTGATAATATGAATCATTTTAAATAGGGCTGAAAATTACCAAAAGATTATAACTGAAGCATAGTGAATGCGGTTGTTGTTGTGCTGCAGAGAGCCTCCGGCCTTGTAAATCATGAACTTAGATGTAAAGATTGTGTTTGTTTGACACAATCCAAAATCAATCATCATTACTTTTATTTTTGCAGTGAAAAGAAATGAACACTCAATCGCACTAATTCCAAGAGAAAACGTTCAATAATAATTGCTAATATGTTCTTTTTTTTGCGTATGTATGACAATATTAACCTAATTTAAACCTTAATTTTTTTTTTTAAGTCAAATGTAAAAAATCAGTTTCAGTATTTTTTCAAAAAAACAAATGCTGAATGTGGACACTTTTATTTTTTCTGGCTTTTTGGTAAAATAACCAAGAAAAATGTTCAGATTAGTTGATGAAATGGTATATAATAAATGAGCAGGAGGAAGCCAGAGTTGAGTCCTGTGATTAAACAGTTATTAAAAAGCTCAAAGTGACATGTTTGTACTGAGGTTTCAGCTGCAGGAGATGAGTCCTGTCTCTTTAAGCTCTGTGTTATTTTCTCTCTGTGAATGTGGTGTGTGTGTTGTGTGTGTTGTTGGTGTGGTGTGTGTGTGTGTGGTGTGGTGTTGTTATGGAGGATGACAAAGTTGTGCTCTTGATAATGTATGAGCCTGCTCTCTCAATATTCTTCCAGCGTCTCCTCCTCCCCTCCTGTTCGTCGTCGATCCGCTCTGGTAGCTTCTCAATGGGAAACAAAGACTGGACCGCTCGGCCCAAAACACTGGACGTCTCTCAATAGATCTCTGAGCTCCTTCACGCAGCGCGCATAACAGGTTATATCTGATTATAGCGGTGTCACCAGTTTGTCTTCCAGATCAGGTTTTTCCCCACAACCAACACGTGAACGCAGGGCTGTCAGACGTCCGGTTTTCTCATTGCACCTGAATGCATCACAGTGTTTACGGCAAGAGACGCTGAGAGCTAAACTAATTAACAACAGTCAGGATGAGAACACAGAGGCTCTGAAGAGAGGGCTCTGTGTTAGTAGTTCTTGAACCTGGGAGGTTTTGTGGGTTCATGTGTAAAACCGGAAGCCTGGAGTCATGTGTGTTCAATGTTTTTCAACTCCAGACTTTGTGGAGGATTCAGACCAAGTCCGTGATTTTGGGCGTCTTTCCTTCTGTCCAGGTGAGGTGGGGATGTTGTCTCCCTGTGGGGCTCTGGTCCCATCCCGGTTTGTCAGAAGACATGAAACACAGTGTGAGCTTCAGGGAACACGGACAGAGCCAGAACTTCCACAAGCAAAAGGCCGTCAGGGTCTGTCTGGTTCTGGCTTCAACTCAACTCAATGGTTCAGATCAGATTAATGGTTCAGATAGATAACTGGTTCAGATTTCAGTTTAACTGTTCATGATCAGATTAACTGGTTCAACTCAGTTTAATGTTCAGATCAGATTAACTGGTTCAGATCTCAGATTAACTGGTTAGACTCAGTTTAACCTGTTCAACCCCAGTTTAACTGGTTCAATCAACTCAACTGTTCAGATCAGATTAACTGGTTCATCATTTAAATGGTTCACTCAGTTTAACTGTTACTAACTAACTGGTTAGATCAGATTAACAGTTCAGATCAGATTAACTGTTCAATCATTTAACTGGTTCAACTCAACTCACTGGTTCAGATCAAGATTAACTGGTTCAACTCAGTTTAACTGTTCAGTCAGATTTAACTGGTTCAGAATAAGATTAACTGGTTCAGATGTTCAGTGTTAAAGATTAACTGGTTCAAATCAGATTAACTGGTTCAATCAGTTTACTGTTCAACTCAGTTTAAACTGGCAACTCAACTCAACTGGTTCAGATAAGATTAACGGTTCAGAATCAGTTTAAACTGTTCAACTAGTTTAACTGGTTCAACTCAACTCATAGGTTCAGATCAATTAACAGTTTCAGATTCAAGATTATAAATTTCAACTCAACTCAACTGGTTCAAACTCAGTTTAACTGGTTCAGATAAGATTAATATGGTTAGATCAGATTAACTGGTCACTTGTGCGTTTGCGTTTAGTAATTAAAGGAGTGGTTGACTTCCTCTGTGGCACTGCTCTAGTTATCTTATTTTAGCTTAGTTTATTCTTAACATAAAGGACAGAGCAGAAAGAGAAATTTTCACACTACCAGCTCCTGTAGCTCATGATAACACTGTAAAGCAGAAAGTAATCTTGAGTTCATTCCTTCTTCCGTTGTTTAACAGGATTTAGAGGAAATGGCGAGAGGGAGAGAGGACTTTCTCCTCACTGAGAAGAAGAGGATGGAGGAGGAGGAGGAGCTGCTGCATTTTCAGGATGGGACGAGCTCACAGCCTTCCTGCTGAACGAGGAGGTGTGCAATCAGCGTGGGAACATCAGAGGGCGGAGTTTATCTTCGAGTGGGCTGAACACCTGAAGGAAACTCCTCCCATCCACAGACAGGGTGAGAGCTGCTGTCAGAGGTCAAGAATTGACCCTGGCGATCACTACGGAGGCCCGGAGAGGAACATTTTGTTTTTTATCAAACCTCTACATTTGTTTCTGACTGTTTAAAAGTGTGTGATATTTGATCAGCTGGACTTTTCTCCACCTTGTGTCAGGTCGACATCAAACACAACCAGCGGCGCTGGTCGACAGCTCTGTCGACCGTTCTGATTGGCTCCCCCGGCCCCCCCTCGACCGCTGGCTGCTGGCCCACTGCTTTGGCTCTGCTCTACGCGTGGGAGACCCGGTACCTTCCAGTTTATTGGTGGAGAGTGCAATGACATACATCCGCAGCAAGAACGACTCTCGTCAGGCCTCCCCCGGCTGTAAGTCAGGCGGATATTTGTCCATTGGAAAGATTGGGAAACAGAGCTTCCAAGTGAAAATACTTACTCAGATTGTGGGAGAAAGCTTCGTTTGAGTTCACAGCTACAGATGATGAACAGACCCACGATGATGCGTTGTTGTGTTTCAGGGGCAGCCGTCGCGTGTCTCGGCGCTCTGTACGAGCAGCTCGGCCGGGTATCTCGGCGGCTTCCTTCAGAGACACTCTGACACCTGCTGAAGGCCATTGAAGAGCGCGGAGGATCGTCTTCCTCTGAACGTCAATCTCTGTGACACTGTCGCACAGAGAACAAGATGACTCACATCTGTGCAGCAAAGTTAATAAAAAGTTAAAGGTTAAAAACTAAATGAGATTTTGAAATGACAACTTCATGTTGAAAAATCAAATTTAAATAACTGAATAAAATAAATGAATGGTTTGTTTTACAATGAATTTTAAATAAAGAAATGAACTTTATGTATTTCAAGCAAAACAATGGAAGTTCAAAGTGCTTGAAGAAGAACCACAGGTTTAAAACCTACTCGACAAAAGGAAGGTTTGTGCTGTCTAAAAAAAAATTACTTATTTATAAAACACTTCTCGCTCAGGGAGAGTAAATAATAAGATTATTTAAAATTAAAATCAAATTAATTGGTATTTAAACATTTCCAACCCTGAAAAGCAGCGACCTGTCCTCGTCCATTGTCAGCGATGAAGGTATGAATATTTAAGTTTTCCATGACAACGTGTGATGTCACAGAAACAGCCCTCTTCTTGTAGTTATCTGAGGTTCAGACCAGTTGACCAACTTCAGCAGTAGTACAAAGATTACGTAGCTACTTTTTTATAAACTGTAAATCACTCCCCCGCTCCTCTCCCTTCTCTCAGTCTCAGGGTCGCTATGAGATCATGTTGAGTGTGGAGAAGATCCTGCGAGGTTTAGGCGTCAGCGCTGTGTGCCGTGTCACTGTGAATCATACAAGGCGGCGAGGACCTGTCTGACGGACCGATCCAGTGCTGTGCGCTGCGCGCCACTAAGTGTACAGTCTGACCCTTAACCCTTATTTTTTATTTTATTATTTCTTTATTTATTATTTTTTTATAATTTATTTTCTATTTAAAAAATACTATTGAAATTTCTTATTATGTAATAATTATTGTTTATTAATTATTTTTATAATTATTTTATTTTATTTTTATTTCAATTTTTATTTTATTTTTATGTTTCTTGTTGGTGGTTCAAGGCCCTCTGACTTAAACGGTGATGACTCAGAGCGAGCAGCCTCTGTCTGACTGCGGGGAGCGTCTCAGATCCCTTCACTACGACCTTGTTTCCTTCCCTTGCGTCTTCTGTGTGTCTGAGTGTTTGGATGTTTACACGTTTATTTACAAACCTGCTGATGTCTGTGGTTGTCCTCGCTCCCTCACAGCAGGAATAAAGAGGAAGTATTGGTGTCACATGACCATTGTGTGGAAAGCTAACAGTTCTGTGTCTCGCTCTGTCAGTTGTTTGCATGGCTGCAGAGAGGCGGTTCCTGTGGACCAGCGAGCTGGAGGAAACGTGGCACTCTGCTGTTCAGAGCCTTCGAAGGATCCAACTACAACGTCGAGTGTCTGTGGCCAAACTGCTGGGAACTTCTGCTGGTCTGCTGGAGCCCAGGCAGCCAACCGGTACGGGGGGGGGGGGGGGGGGGGCAGGAGCGTCAGGCTACTGGGGGGAAGAGGGATATCAGTTACTTCAACAGTTTCTCTTGGCGCCTCCTGCATCATGGAGAGTCAGCAGAAACACACTTAAGTTCAGATTTTCTTAAGTTCGGAGTTAATTTCTTTTAAAATAAAAACAGTTGCACTAAACACCCCAAGTCTACTCCTTAAGGGTTTCCTTAAAATGTTCACTTAAAGTGTAAGGGTGTTCTCCTTATCGTAGTCTTATACTTAAGGAAATCACGTGAACCTTTAAACCTGAAGGAGTTGTGTGCGACCGCCCGATGTTTTAAGATCACGTCTGGGTGTCGGTGTCAGGGGAGGTTAGCCTAGCTTAGCGCCGCCTGGAGGCAGGGGGTCTTTAATTATTTGATCTGATCAGTCGGTTTAATCGAAGCAGATTCATGACTGATTTTCGGAGCTTATTAAGATTGTCAAACAAAGATAAGTGTCAGATTTAAAGTTTGTGTATGAAACAGTGTATAGTTGTTTTTAAAGAATATGGTGATGTAGATCGGGGGTGTCTCAAAGACTGACCGACTCCCTGCTGTTCAAGGACTCCAGTCTTATCCCATCATGCTCGTGTCACACAGGGAAGGTGGTCACTATGTTTAAATGAAGACCTGAACCTTTTTTTCCACAGCAGCGCCGAGGCAGGGAGGGGGGTCGAAGCTCTCTGGAGGAGGTGTGGATTGTTGACGGCGGGGTTCCTGGGGGGCGGGGCGGCTTCCTCCGAGCAGCGGAG